TTTTTTTTTTGCATTGTAAAACTGTGGAATATTCTCGTTTTTTGCTTAAAATATATTTCAGATGAAAAAAAATTTAACGAAATGCTACTTGTTATGAATTGATGATCAGTTTGTATCCGATACCGATTTAACCGATAGTACCACATTATTTTTGCTTTTGTAATTTAATTTTCATCTTTCCGTTGATTTTTCTTTTTGGAAATTTGTTATTGAAAAGTTGAATTTTACTAGAATTTTTGAGGTTACAATCTGAAACACTACGAAGAACTGCGATCTGTTCCAATTATTCAATAAAATGAAATGAATGATTAAATGTATTTTCTTCTTTGCTTCGTCGTTTGTTCTGTAATATTGCATAATTTTGCAATGAAACTGGAAAATAATTAAAAGGAAACCTCTTTCTATTTTAAAAAAAAAAAAAAACTAATATTTGTGACAGCAATGAAATAAAAACATGTTAATCGACATTCTCATCATTTTTTGATTTCAATTATGTTCAGCATAGTCGTTTTTCTCAATTATGCTATGTGTCTGTCTGAAAAGTTAAACATTACTTCGACTATGCAGACAACCGAAGAAGGAACTACCGTGGAAGAAATTTATTTAGTAGGTAGCAAAAATTTGAATTTGTCAAATGACTTCTTTTCTTTTAGATGGAAAAATAAATGAAATTAAAATATATGCTTATCTATATAAAGTAACACAAACTTGAAGAATGTTTGATATTTTTGACTTACAAATTTCAGTTTTGTTCAAAAATCTTGTCGAGAATTGAAAAGTTTAATTTTTTTTCCTGTTCATTTGTACCTAATTCACATTTCTACCATTAATATCGAAATTTTCGTATTTTTGATTTCAGAAGAATTAAATGAGCAGGGAATACAAGATAATAATCATTGTTATCGGTGGATACCGTTTATAAGGGTATGTGGTAAATTTAAAAATGTGAAAGTAATGTTTAAATTTGACATAAAATCGTTGTTTGCTACATTTGTGTTTCTTGAAACGTTCAATAAAATTAAATAAAAAATTATATTAAAAACGTTTATATTTACCATAAAATCTCACAGTAAGCATTACTTTTTATCCGTTACGTACCAAATTTATGAAGCATTTTTTTTTTTTTTTAGGTAAATAAAAGTACTCCAGTAGCGTTCGATAATGATTTATGCAAAAAATTTAAACGAGATAGCATTTATATTGAATCAAGTGATGAATGGAAATTTGTTAAAAAGCTCGTTACAGGTTTGCCTGACCGACCGATGACAACTTTCATAAAACTCTACGCTAAATTTCAAACTTTTATTTTTTTCATCCTTCATTTTTTGTTTTGTAGAAAGCAATCAAAATGGTACAGTTATTCGGAGAATATCACTAGTTCCTTTTTTTCCAGTGATTTTCGAATTTTATAAAAAAAATATTTTCGAAAATCGATTAATTGTTCCGAGTATTTCGATTTATTTATTATATATTTTATTTTAGGATTTTCTGTTTTTTTCGTTTAAATTTCTTGGATATGGAGTGTTTATGTATTTTATTTTTGAGTTGTTACGTATCTTTTTGATGTTTGATATTCTTACTTTACTGCTCTGATTTTTTTTAATTGATTTTTTTAAAGGACTTTTTCTTTGTTAATTTATTTTTATAGACTTTAGTGGCCTTGGTTTTTTTTTTGGCAAACAAAAAAGGGAATTATACAATTTTTGAAATTTTTAAAAGTGATAAGATTGAATTATGCATTTTGTTCTAACTTAAATTTCATTCCATCATTTGCTATATTCCGTATGACAGTTTCTTATAAGATTTAAATCAAAATACATCTAACAAAAGTTTAAAGCTACAAAAATGGTTACATTTCCAGAAGCTTCACATGAGTTCATACTAGAAATGAAGGTTATTGGGTCAACAGGTTTAAATGTATTATTGGGTGGCGTAGAACGTTTTGGAAAAATGAGTCCGAAATTGATATATGATAAACATTTGAAAGGGCCTAATGTCGATCGTCACAGCAATTCAAGCTGTAAACGTTACGTCATAGTTGCGCAATGGCCTGAATTAAGTGGTATGATATAATAAATTCTTTCTAAATTAATTCTCTGTTAGTGTTCAGTAAATCAAATAATGAAAAAAAAAACTACACTACCGTCTGTCAAATTTTCTTAATTAGCTAATCGAAAACTTCATTACAACTCCTCTAATTGTCAAGATTTATCAACAATTACTGAAGAATTTATCTCGTATGAAATTTGACAGCGAATTTTAATCGGTAACAAATCCGATCAAATTCTATAAAGCAACATTAATTCATCTTAAATTGACAATTTTCCATGGCAATAAAGAAATTAAACGAAGACAGGATGCTATGAAAGTTATTGATGGGCCACCAGAAGGTACATAAAGTTTATAATTTCATTTTAATAAAAATTTAGCAAATAACGAGAAATTGTTACAAACACAATTTTAGTTATCGATTGTTGAGCTGAAAAGAAAATGAAAAATTGTTCAAGCATTGAGCATAGCGCTACCAATTATGCTTAGTTTTTCGTAGAACTTCCACTATTTGTATATAATGGCATTAATTATAATATTAAAATATGAAAAGACTATACATTACATGTTAACAAATAAATATGGAATAAATATGCAAATGGATAAATAGGGAAAAAAAATATAACTGAACAAATAATTAATTAACTAATCTCTTTAGGAATAGTAAATATTTCGGTACGGTCAATTTTATGTAAAGAATTAAAAAATCAAATATGGCACGTTATATGCAAACGACATGTAAGTTCAAGAATATAATTTTTAATTTAAAATAAATCATTAAGAATCATATGCATTACTAATATTGCAAACATTATTCATCGTTAATAGAAATCACAAGTAAAAATAAAACAAACAAACATCCTTAGGCAAATTGAAAAATAATTAGGTAAAAAACTGAATAAATAATAAATTATTTAAGTGTTTTCCACATTTGGAAGAAATTACTACAACGGCCAGAGATTTCACCGTTTATGGAAGAGGTATTATCAATTGAGCAATACATTTTAGTTAATAATTTCTTTATATGGAACAAATTATAATACAAAAATATCAATTATTATCCAAAATATGAATATGAGGAGAAAATAGTTGTAGATATAATTTTAAATGAAAAAATTTAAAAAAAAAAACACTTATTAGTGAGATGCTGCTTTATGAAAATATAGATAGTGTTGGTAATTTAATCTATTATTGGAAGAAATAAATTGAATTTTGATTATATAATTTAAGAAATGCTTCGTTTTTTATGTTCAGGTGATTTATTGGAAAATTTCCGGATGACGTCTGTTTCCATTTCGTATACAACAAGTTGTAAGTTTCGGATAATTAAAAAATGCTATTTCTAATGGAAAATTAAAAATACGAACTCACTGAATAATTTGCTTTTTTTTTTCTCTCCATTTGCATATTGGAATAACTGCAATCGATTAGAAATTTTCCAGATTGGCTATGGCAAATGTTTCCGTTCATCTTCATGGTCTATTGTTGCAAAGATTGGAAATTGTTTTAAAAAGACATTCAGCTTCAATTCATATTGAATGTTAGCAAATTGAATGTTTAAAATTTATTTATAAAATTTTGGCATAAAATTCTTTGCAAAGAATTAATGATAATCAACATAATAAGCTGACTATTAGTTAAACAACGACAGCAATCTGTCCAACTATTTTACAAAAATAATTCAGGTTATTAAGCAAATAACAGATATATGATTAAATATGATGGGAAGATAACAAAAAGCAAAAAAAATAGGGTAAATGGAATAAATGAAGAAGGAAGGAAATTATATCTGTCAAATTACCGGATAGAATTTATCAAACTAGAGATCAAATTCATTCTAATTTTTTTTCCAAAAGATTTGAGATTATAGATTATCTTTTTTTTTAAATTTTCACTGATAAAAATTATGCGTTCTATCATATTATTATACTTAACAGGGAGCTTTTTTTATTGATAAGGTTTTAATTGGTAAAAAAAGCAAAAAAAAAAATTATACCTCAGTGTTCAATTTTTCCCTTTCATACCACGTATTCGCTGCTCGGCTGAAATTTGCTTTTAAAGATTAAAACTAATTTCATACTGTGAAAAAAGTTTAAAGTCAAATTAGCAATATGTAAATATATGCCAATCATATCCTATTATCAATAATCGAATACTAGAATTAACTCAATGTTCAAAATGATGAATATCTCTATAGCAGCACATGCCAGATACAATTTAGTGGGAAAAAATCCATGATGTAACAGAAAGCCATAACTTGTTCCATACCTGGAAGCGTCGAAATTCGATTCAAAAACTCATTATTCCGATAAGATAAAGCATATTACCGAGAGCTATTCATTTCATTGCTGTTTGAAAAGCATAAGCATGCAGTCAACCAGTTTTTTTTTCTTAAATTTTAACTTCTATAAGATAAAAAAACTTTTTTCACAATATGAAATTAATGCAAAGCAATGCAAAGCATTTTATTCAGTATAAGAAAATTGTGCAATGTTAAACTATTTCCTAGTTAGGTTACGGTAGTGAATGATCGTGATTATTTCTTAGCAGCACTATCTTGTAAGTTCCATCATTATATGATTTTGATTTGTTAAATACGTCTAAATAAGAAAGATATGCAAATTAGCCTACTAAATGCATTAAGCAAAGGGTAAACAAATCCTAAAAGAAGCTTTTTTTAAATTCAAAAAAGGATTTCGGCAATCGCCCTTCGGCATTCATTCGTTGGGAATTTTTTAATGGAAGAGAAAGCATAGTCATAAGATAGAATGAAATTTAAAAACGTTCATATATGGACAAAAAACTGTCCATATATGAACATTTTTAAAGTATGTAGAAAAAAAAAATTGCCGACTTGTGAAATTTTTAACCGTACCACTCATCTTTTCACAATTCTGTGGTAAATGTTAAATCATATTGAATTACATCCCTTTCGATATATGTGCATAAGAATTGTGTCCAACGTATTCATGTTTCTAGAAGGCTTAATTTAATTGATAGGGATAGGTAATTTAAATAGTTTCGTTTTCTATGAATTGATACTTCTTACGAGATCATTCGTTATCAGGTTGGTTTAACCTACCTGATTCTCTTTCCATTATGTAATTTCTAAGCCTGAATTCTTAGCCAAAAAGTATCTCATTACTCAATGCTAAGGAAGAGTTTTTTGGCGTGTTGGTTCCGGAAAGAGATGAAAATATCTCTCCGTTCATGTACGTTTTTTCTACGTGAATTTTGAACAAATCTCAAAAGCTAATTTTGAATGATTATATATCCAGTGCATTTATTATCAATTACACTATCTCGATAATAGCTGAAATTTCTTCATAAGAGATTCTTCACGGCTAATTTCTAATCCATTCCCGGAATCTGATTGAAAAAAGAATCATTCTATGAATTTTGGCGAAACAACTTGATTTTGATCATTGTAAGGGCTTAAGAATCGTTACAAACTGTAAGACACCTCTTTGCCTATCCCTATCAATTAAATTAAGCCTTCTAGGAACATGAATACGTTGAACACAATTCTTATGCACATATATCGGAAAGGATGTAATTTAATATGATTTAACATTTACCACAGAATTGTGAAAAGATGAGTGGTACGGTTAAAAATTTCACAAATCGACAATTTTTTTTTCTACATACTTTAAAAACGTTCATATATGGACAGTTTGATTATCCTAAACAAATACTGACAATTTTAGCCAGTCTTCAAAGCAATAAATTAACAAAATTTCCTGTAGCAAAAAACAAATTAGAGAAAATTATATTTCTCTGATTTAGAGAAGTATAATATCAGAAAGTATGAACACTTTACGAACGATTAATTAACGAAGAAAACAATAATAAGAAAAGCTAATAAAAGATTATTATACAAAAAAAAAAGTTACTATTGTGGAAATATTAAATACACGATTAGGAGTGTCGGTCAATTTCGATGATTATAAAATCTGTCCGATTCCATCTTATCAAATAAGTCATTAATTACAGTATCTGTCAACTCGGGAAATTAGATTCACTAAAAATAGCTTTTGAGAGATATACCAGCTCAAGTGTTCTCTTTCCGTGTCTTTCAAACATCAACAGCACATTCGAATTCAAGCTGCACCGAAAACTGCATATCGCATTGTGAACGAAATTACTTTTTTTTTTGAAGTTTTGAAATTATTTGTTGGATGAACATAAAGTAACTTCAAACTGGAAAAAAATAATGATGAAAAAAAGAAAAAAATAATGATAAAAGTGCTAGAAAAGTTTGTCTCAGATCAATTAAATATATTATACATATATTGAAAATTAAACAAATAGCAAAACTTTGAAAATGCAAGACAATGTGAAGGAATATGAGAACAACCCTTAGGATGAAAAAAGGCAGTGCAGAACGAAGATTTTATTTTATTAAGGACGAAAGAAGTAATATTAAAAGAAAAAACATATACAGAAGATGATAAGGTTAAGAAAGCAAACATCTTTCGTTTGAACCGCTCTACAATTACAACTGTGGGCGTAGCAAGAAAAATCTTCTGTGCACAATGACGTAAATATCGTATGAAATAAGTGAATCAAGTGAAAAAAAGTTTTAATGACGAATTGAATCAATTAGAATGCATGTTCTCATATTTTATCTTTAAAGACAGATAGATTTTGTGTAACATTCTGCATACGTAACAAATGTTTCATTTTTCGCATGATGATAACTGATATTAATGAGCTGAAGAGATTGGAATGAAATAACAAAATTATGCACCTTAGAAAAAACTAGCATGAAAATTGAAAGCATCAAATAAAATGGCATAAAAAAGTTCGTTTTTTTTTTCAGATCATTAGTTAATCTAATTATTAAAAAACAATTCAAATTAAACAAATCAAATTCAACAGCATATCGGAAAGAAGATCGGAAAATATTCAAGTGATAATTTCCATTCAATGAAAGAAAAATAGCAAATATAGAAGCTTATATGTAAAAAAAAAAAGCATTAAACCCAAAGCATTATTAAAGTGCAAGAGAAAAGATCAGTGAAAATTTAAAAAAAAAAAAGAAAAAACTTAAATGTTTATAAATTCCTCCATTACTTCTATCAGTGATGAATAACTCGGATGCTTTGTAAACCAGCACCTACCAAATGTCGTTCAAAAGGTGTAGATGTTGTAGCATTCGGAATGTTCGATGTCGCTGCATTATTTTCGTTTAGAAATTTTTGCAAATCAATTGCTTTTGATCCCACACGATTTATTGAATGAATAAATCGATTTTTATGTATAAGGCATGAAAATATTGTAAATACCACTACAACGGGTACTGAAATGAAGGAAGACATTGATATGAGTTGAACAAATTACATTCAAATAGATAGAGTTTAAATAAATTAAAAAATATTTCGAAGGAATATAAACCTTTATATCAACTTAAGTGTGCAACTTTTAAAGTAAAATTACAATTTACAACATTTTTTCATCATTAAAGATTCTATTTTATTTCTTGACTGCTTCTTTGCTCGATATATCATCCATCATTTCAGAATTAAAAATTCCTGACAGTAAAATAGCTTATTACTTTATCACGCATTATCAAGCAATAGTTAACATCGATAATACTTCATTTGGGAAATTGAAAAATTCCTAGAAATTAAGAAAAAGTGTCGCTTGCTTACTGAGCATAGCAGTGGTAATATAAGCAGCAGTAATATAATTGACCGCATAAAATTTCACAAAAAATATTATACCAATTTCAATAAGAAACAATATTAAACCAATACATGTACTAAATAACCATGATAAATCGATATAGAATCTGAAATTGAAATCCATGAATTAATATCTGCAGAGTGATGCAAGAGCATTAAGTATATTGGAAAGTTTCATTTTCAATGTAAAAAAAAAAAAAAAAAAGGATGAAAAATATTTGAAAGAATTATGCATATGTAGCACAAAACACAAAATAAAATATAACTAATGCAACAGAGATTTTGATGCTAAAAATATTGCTATCATAAATTTTAAACTAGAGACTAATCTTTTTCTTACTAATGATTTTTTGTCTCATTATTATGTTTCTCTAAACTTTATTAAACTCTCTAGCAATATTTCTCTAATTGATTCTTCCAAAATCAAATAATTGTTGGTGAACGAACTTACTTCAACCGGATATGAGGTGAATCTTGCGTACAACCATTCGCTTCAATGTAAGGTAATATACATGTTGACATCATTAGTGCAAGAAGATGAACGGAAACAAGAAGTGTTGTCACCACTCCAAGTGTTATTAAGAGAAAAGGTGGCGTCGTTCGCTCGTACTGCAATTCCACCAAGGCAACCTGGACATAACGAAATATATTAATCTTATAACAGTTTACTTATTAAATCAGAATCAGTATCCAAATTAAATCTAATAAGCGGAATGTTAAATGAAATAATATCCAATATTGTCAATGTTTGACGGCATATTATTAATTTACTAAATTTTACCAAGAAAGAAACTTTCACAGCACTCGAACTAAAGTTTATGTTGCTGTATCCAATCATTGATTAAGCTATTTAGATTTTTATTATGCTTAATATTTATTGGTAATAAATTATATTGGTAATATTGTTCGAGAAAGCTATTATTATAAAATCATGCACTAGATCTAGTTGCGATGTCGATTGCTTACATTTACCACAAAATCATAGAAAAATTTATTAAAATCAAAATAGACTACTGATAAAAAAAAAAAACAATCATCGAATAACCATGTTAACGCAAGTCTTCTAATTTTAATTTAAAATTCTAATTCTCAGTAAAATTTAAAATTCTATCTCAAGAAAATCCAATTAAGATATCAGAAACAGAAAGCGAATATGAAAAATCAGGAAAGATCTAGTTGCTGTTGAAACAAATACAAACTGTTCAAAAAGATAAAGAGTTCAAATATTTTGAACTCTTTATCTTCACTTTCATAATATTTCCTTGTTTCTTCTGCTACATTCGACATAAACAGATTAACTCAACTAAATCCGGATAAGAAAAAAAAAACAACTGGTTTAGTTATAATAATATCGAGAATCCTGAAGTAAGAAATTTGCACCACAGTTCATAAATATATATATCAATTTTATGGTATTGTGGAATATGATGTTACCATATATTATCCGACATATGTTCTGTATGTATCACCTTATACTGGGACACTTCGATCAAATTATCTATAACCGAGAAAAAGTAAAATATTACATTCCAAAATTTGATTAAATTTATCCTATACTTTACTTACCATAGCAAAACCTGCCAATAAAGCTGATGTTCGTGAACTTGCTTTAAGTTGTGCTCGACTGAGATCATACCGATACTTTTCAAGAATTGATAATTCACCACGATATCTGCAAAAAGTATCGTCATTTGAAAATATAATCCGAAGTATAATCAACAAACAGACCTTTCATCTAATATCACAGCTTTTTCCTTTACTACAACACCATTACTTGCTGCTGTTGTTGTTGTTGTCGTTGTTGGTGTTGCTGTTGCTGTTGCTGTTGTTGCTGTTTTTGTTGTTGTTGTTGTTGCTGTTGTTGTTGTTGTTGTTGTTGTTGTTGTTGCTACCGAAGTTATCATAGTTGTTGATGACATGTTATGGTAATCAAAATCATGATAATGTGGTAAAGTTGATGTAGGAAACATATGAATCGGAAAGTTATTCGAAATATTTGCATCAATTATTGACAATGGTCGATGTGATGAGAAGCGTACAGTATTCGTCGAATGGTTGTTATCCATATGGGTCATCTGCTTGTTCACATCAAAATCAGCTAACTGTTTGCTTTTCCGCATATTAAAGCATGAATCATTGATTGAAATGGTATGCAATGATTGTAAACCAACGAAATTTTGCGATGATACATTTGCTTCTGTTAATAGGCTACGAGATAAATCATTTTCCCGTATACCTAATTTCGAATTTGTTGGAATGTTGGATGTTGAAGAAATAAATCTGCGATTTTTATACAAACCACCATTGCTTGTTGGGATTTCGATACTTTGATCAATTTTTCCTGATTCTGATCCCACTGAAGTAGATATCATTTCTTGAAATCCTGAATTTTCTCTCGATTGTGCTCTTTTTCCTGTTGGTAGCAATAGTAAAAACGGTAACACTGTTATTTGTTAATTTGGCATATTTCATAGAGAAAATTTTCCAAAGGAAAAATATGAAAGGCTTAAAACTGGAAAGAGACAAGCGATAGCAACGAAGCTATAGTAGCAAAGCAACTAATTAAACGATCATTTACCAGCAAGATTAGCTTTATAGAAAATAATAAGATAGTGTTACATCGTTATCATTTATTGCAACATATATGACTTCTCGTGTAACGGCAACAACTAACAAAAATGTCATTACCAGTAAAAGCAAGCTAAAATCTGTCGCTTGATGGAAAAAAAAAAGTGCAATTTAATAGAAATCTTTACACCATCAATTTCTTAAAAAATTAAAAAAGGAAAAATCAAACTTTCATATGACTAAAAATAGAAAATACTAAGGATAAATATATTAATCTGAAAAAAAGCTAAGCATATAAAAAAAAGATATGAACTATAAATGGATAAAATTCAAATAGCAATGAAAAAACTGTATTCAAACATGAAAATTTCATGGAATTGCATGTCTGCTGAACAAATACTACAATGCATTTTGATGATGATGCTCCGATAACTGCAAAATTTTACTTTCAAAATAAATATAGGACATTTGCACAAAAAAAAAAAACACAAAATTTTGACTTTGAAAATAAGATATAATGCGTTTTTTTTGAAATAGTTTCTAGATTATAAAATTACATTTTACTGAAATTTTTATCAGTGTGATGTCAGTAAATATAAGGAACATTGCTATTCTTTACACCTGTTATTCTTATCGCAATAACAAATGTTAAGCAAACAATGAAAAACCAATCGTTTTTTACTAACTACTGATTACTATTTAAAATGGAGCTATTTAAAATCCCAATGGTACTTAATTAATGTTCGATAAAGAAATTTGGTGAGGAAATTTTTTTTCTTGTTCAATAAAAATAAATTTCCCCATTGATAAAAAGCTTTAATCCTGATAAAAATTATAAATCAACAAAAAAAATCAAATTGAAAATATGAGAGGAAAAAAATTGATGATGCATCGCTATAATAGAACTGAAAAATATGCCTAATCTAAAGCTATGTTCAATTTTAACGTTAGTAAAATTAAAATATACATTTGAAATTAAGCAAAGATTTGACTTTAAAAAACTAATGCTATTTCAAAGATGGAAAAAGACACAATCTTGGAATAATGTATTTGTTTGCAGAGAAAAAAAGAGCCTGAACAATAGAAAAGCTTTAAAACATAAAAATCTAAAAAAATGGCATAAAAAAATGGCAAAGCTTACGGAAAGAGCATAACATTCCTCTCTTTCGTCTTTCTTACTTTTCGTCAAAACTGTAAAATAAAAAATACGATTTCCAACTGACTTTTTAATTTTGCAATGGTCAACTTATCCTTTTTACGCAAACAATGACAGAAAAAACGTTTTGCGATATCTCTCATGGGTAAAACTGTGCCACCATTTTCAATAATACTTAAAAATTTATTTTTAACACCAAAAAATTTCTTCTTGATCAAAAACTTTTATTTAATGATATAACATATCGAGCGGCAGATCATCATTTAATACCTAATGTTCTATGATTTACTGCACAATTATTTTCATTAGAAATACCGGGTATTAATTAAATATTTGGATAAGCATTGAAAATTCATACTGGAAAAAAAAGTAGAACATAAACAACAATATTAGTCATTCCAAATACTAAATTAAACAGCTTCCAATAAGAATATTCAACTTGCAGATAATAAGTAAAAAAGAAAAAACAGAATCACTAATTGCATATGGATGTATGCTATCACGAAACCAAAAAAATCATGATTACAAGCAGCAACAATTATTACGCCAATTTTTAAACACTTACTGTTTTTGTAAATATAGCAGAGGACTCATTGGTGCATTGGAAGGTGGTGATGAATCCGCTGCCTCATAAATTACTGGAACATTTCCTGAAAATTGCTGTTCCGTTTCGTTTTAAGTTAAGAGATTATTTATAAAATACAAAATGAAGCAGAAGTCAAATAGATCGTAAAGCATGCATTTGCATATGATATATCCGCTTGATTACTTTGCAAATTTACAATTTCCATTTTATTACCAGTTTTCAAGTCTATAAACGTCGAAAGAAGCAACTCATAGAAT